AGCCGGACGGCGGCCGCTTCCGGAGCACGCGGCCCTGCACCTCGGAGCGGCAGGAGGCCGGCTGGGGGGGCGGCTTGGCGGCCGGGGGCGCCGGCACGCGGTCGGGGACCGTCTCGCGGCCGGGCGACGCCTCCGCCACCGCCTGCTGCGGCGGAGCGTCGCACACGGTGAAGGCCGGGACCTCGTCGCCATACTCGGCGTCGCGCTCGTCGACAGAGGCCACGAGGAAGGTGATGGTCGAGCCGCGTCGCACGTCGACGGTCTTGAAGCGCGCAATCTCCCTTCCGTTCACGAAGGTGCCGTTGGAGCTCGTGTCCGTGAGCTTGAGCCGGCCCGACGGAGTCAGCCGGAGCGTGCAGTGCGTGCCCGAGATCTGGGCATTCGCGATGCGGTAGTCGGCGTGGATGCTGCGGCCGACGACGAGATCCGCCTTGTCCGCCGTGATGAGGAGGTCGGCGAACGAGGGCGAGTCGGAGAGGAGGCGGAAGCCTCGCCTCGGCATTGGTTCGCAGGAGATCGGTGGCAGTGTTCCCGCGGTTTTGCTCTCGCTCCAGCCAGATTTTTCTTCATTTTCGTTACCAAACGTCATTCAGCTAACGTCTGGTTGCGGAGCGCCTCAATGTCGCGCGAATCATGAGTTTGTGCCCTTGTGCCGGCGGTGGGCCGAGGGGGTTGGTCATGTCGGCTGGAGGCCTGGTCTGTCAGCGGCGGGTGGGGGTCAGGGTGGTGACGAGTGGACCATACCCAGCGCGCAAAAGTCCGAACTGGGAGACGGCACGAGGGGACGAGGGACGTGCGTGCGACTCTCGGCGTCCATCCGCTGCGATTGTGCCCTTCAGGCCGTTCTCGCGTCGCATGGGCGGCGACGCGCTGCCGTACTCGCAGGGTCTCGGGCTGCTCGCCCTCACGCTGGCCGTCTACTATGCCCCTCCCCTCGAGCGGACGCCCCTCCACCAGACCCGGGTCGAGGTCCTCTTCTGGCCGCTCGCCTACGCGTTTGGCGCCTACATCCACCTCTGCCTGCCGACTTCGCCGCTCATCGCGGTCGGCATCGCTCCGGAGCGCCCCTTTGCCGCGGCGATGGTGGGCTTCGCCGCGCTTTTTGGTGCTGCGACGCAGCAGCGCCGGCGCCGCGAGCGCCTCAAATCGATGGCCGCCCGCATCGACCTCGACCAGGGCCTCGCGCTGACGCCCTCGGTGCGGGCCAGGGTGGCCACCTTGCGGATTCGCGACCTGCTCCAGCAGCGCGCGGGGCTGCTACACGGCCTCCTCGAACCCTTCTTGACTGGCACAAGGAGCGACCTCTGCGACGCGCTCGCCGAGGTGGCCAAGGGCGGGCCGGCCGACCTCGTCTCGCTCATCCACTCGACCGAGGTGGACCTCGGCGTGCTCATCCAGCACGGGCAGGAAGGGGTCGCCAAGATTCTGCGGCAGAGCGTGCAGATCATGGGCGTGACGGAGAAGGCGACGCTCATCGACGCGTTGCAGAGGCAGGAGTCCGACTTTAGGGCCAACGAGGTGCGACGCACCGCGCGCGTCGCCGCTTGTACTCGTCCTCCCACCCGCCCGGCTCGCCCGCGCAGGAGCTGCAAGATTGCGCGCTCGACGCGCTGCGCAGCACGCACGGCGCGGA